CAAATATGAAGTTAATGAAGTCTTTCAAATCAATAAAATGCGATACAAACATAAAGGGTATCTTAATCACATAGAAACTACATAATAAAACTAAGCCACATTTGCTCAACATGTCCCTTATGAGCAATAGGTGGTAAACCGTTTGTCAACGGTTTAGTAATCATCAATCTAGCACTGATGTGCTTAATAACCACTTTGTTTGCTTTGACATTTTCTCAAATCACAAGATACTTAATGTCGATGTGCTTATACGACTTCCCCTTTTACTATTCTTGGCCAAAAACACTGCAACAGAATTATAGTAGTAGTAAATCCTCAATGGCTTGGAAATTGTATCAACAACTCCAAGCCCTGAAATAAAACTCCTTAACCATATAGCATGCGATGTTGCTTCAAAACATGATACAAACTCTGCTTCAGTGGTAGAAGTAGTAACTGAAGATTGTTTTGCACTTCTCTACGAAATGGCCCTTTTTGCTAATAAGAAGTCATATCTCGATGTCGACTTTCTCAAGTTAAGGCAACCAACAAAGTCATAATCTAAATATCTAATCATTTCTAGATGATCAGGTTGATTGTATGTAAGCTTGTAGTCCTTAGTTCCCTGAAGGTATCGCATGACTTTCTTTGCAACTCTCCTGGTCTAAACTTCGGTTACTTTGATATTTGCCCAACATTCCAATTGCATATGTAATGTCAGGTCTTGTGTAAACCTGAGCATATATTAAACTCCCAATGGCAGAAGCATAAGGAATGTTCTTCATTTTTTCTCTTTCTAAATTATTTCTTGGGCTTTGTTCCAAATTGAATTTGTCACCTTTGACAATAGGTGCAACACTAGATGATCAGTCCTTCATACGAAATCTCTCTAAAACTTTATTGATATAGACTTGTTGAGACAATCCTAATGTTCCCCAAGATCTGTGTCTCTCAATCTTCCTATGACCTATGAAGCTTCGCCCATATTTCATTTAGAACGCTCATAATTCATTTTGAGGAATCATAATTGGGTTAAGTTTATAAGATAAACTTACTCCCACTATTCTCCATGTATATACAGTGGTTATATGTATATTTTACTCTAGTAGCCAAGAACCTCTAGCCTTCACTAGAGATCCATGACTCAACTCTTGGCTTGGAACTAGCGAGAAAGTCAAGCGAGAAAGTCAAGAGCCAGACTAAGCCCAACTCAACTGATTGAACCAATGCAATCATCTCTACTTGGGTTACAAGCTCACATTACTAGTCATATACCATATATATGACTCCTTAAATACCTGAAATTACTTTCGATATTAAAAATTCAAAGTAACATCGTTTCAAATATAACTTACACCATAAAAATATTTTTATAGGTTGCAAACCAACACAAGTGAAACCACGTTTCATATTATAAAATACATTTACAACAACATGAGAATTGACAATATGTAGTTCCGTATGACTCAAAACATCATAGTCTTTAGAGGTCAAGATTGGTATTTTGTGTAAAATTCTTGGTTATAGGAGTCCTTTTTCATTTTTAGCTCTCTCAAAAGAATTTTTTTTTTTTTTTTTTTTTTTTTTTTTTTTTTTTATAACAAAACAACAAGATTATAGAATTAAAAAGGTTCTAAAGGAAATTCTTTAATCGTTTAAAGAAAGGGATAAAAAAGCTTACCCTTTAATACTCTCATGTTTGAAGGCAATAACAAAATTCTTTAGCAAAACTGAAATCAATAACAAATTTGAAAATGCAATTTTGACACACTATAAAAATTGCATTCCTTTAATAAAACAAAAATCACTTATAAGAAAAATCATAAGATCATAAATAAATTATTTCGGAAACTAAACAAAATTCTTTTAAATAAAAGCATTTCCAAAGTAGATCAAAATTTATGATGTTTGCCTTCTTATTCAATTGAGAATCGGCATCTAATAATGAAAGCAATGGGAGTTTATATAGTGTTTGGCTACCCATTATAGCAAATAAAACTCAGCTATCACATTACCACATGTTACATAATAAGCTGGAAAACAATATAATGAAAGCAGCTCATAGTTACCTTAAGAGATTGGTCTAGAGGTCAAAGAAGTTTATTCTCTTTCTTAAGTTTTTTTGTTCTAATTTTGTGACCACTTACTATAATAATATATAGCTTACTCGATCTTTTGAGTTTCTATAATATTTAATAGAATTCAAAAATTAGTTAAAATGCGAACAGATTGACCAGACTCCTTGATTATTTAAAAAAAAAAAAAAACCACCTCATAGTTACCTGAAGTCTCTTCACAACAAAAGCATTTTTTTTTTAAATTCTTTCCATCTTAATTCAAAGTAGGCAAATTAAAGGAATTTTCCCCGTAGCTTCGGCATTGAGCTCAAACTCAAAAGAATACATTTAAGTAGTGCACGTGTGCACTGGACTAGCATGCACGTGTACCCCACACGAAGTGCTCAACTGCACACCGTTTGATCTTACGTGTCAATATGAAATCATGCAACTCACCACATCATTCCATGTGCCACACACAATTATTCCTCAACCTAACAACAATCTCTATACATAGAAAACCAACACAAAACTTCTCTTCAATCAACCAAACTCAAAAACACAACCAAATGTCTCCACTTTCCTCCACCAATCCCCCGCTGTGGGAGGTCCTCAACCTCCTTGCTCACCACCTTGACCCCAAAGCACTGGCCATAGCTTCTTGCATCTCCAAGTCTTGGATCATTTCCTTCTCCTCCAACCAAATTTGGCAACCCATATGCACCACTCATTACCCTTCTCTCTCTAACCTCAACTCTGTCACTTATTAATCCCCTATCACCGCATCTATGCAGTCACCTACTCCGCCACCCAACGCCGCCAAAAACCCCCTTCTAGACCTCACCTTTTCCTCCACAACTTCATCTTCGCCATCAACTTATGTACCAATAATAATGTCCCGCTTGTGACCATTGCAAAGCCTATGAATGAACTGTGTGCTGACGCCAATGGCATGTTCAAGTTTGATGTTAATGTTGACGATTGTGAAGGTTTAGAGATGGCTGAGTTATCAGAAGAGGTGAAAATCGCTTGGAATGTGGTGTTAAAGGGGTGGGGCGGTGCTTTTATGATGATGGATTACGAAAGGAAGTTAAGTTTTATTCCAGGAGCTGAAGGGTGGTTCTCGGAGGAGCTACCATAGCCGGGGTGTTGTTCGAGTGATGTGGCAAGTGGGATGGTAGCAGCTATGAAGTTAGGGATTTTTCGCAGAAGAGGAAATGGTAGGAAAGTAAGGGTTGAGAATGTGAGCATGGGAACGTTGAGTATTATGAATTGGAGATATGTTAATGTTGATGACGGACTTAGATACTTGCAACATTTTCTTTTGCCAACCAGCGAGTGTTGGTGTCATGGTGTGTAAAATATTTTTGTTTATCACTTAATGAAAATTTTGTGCCACAGTTGAAGAAGGTCTTTTATTGAAGATATAATTAGTTCCATAGTACGCTTCAGTCAGCTCAGCACACATTATTTTTTAAGAAATGACTTAGGCCATCTTTGGACCGTTTGCGCCTTTCAAGCCAACGTTTTATTCTATTATCCTTAGTCACCTGATTGAATTTTACTGTATATATTTAGCCTTGATTTTCTTTCTTTCAAATCATAATAACCTGTCCTATTTAACTATTAAACACATTTCCTACCCATAACTTTCTTTTAAGAGGAATTAATCTACATTTTTGAATGTGAAATGTGTGTGGCTTCGAGATTTGTATAAGACTTTGTGAGGATGTTCGAAGGAACGGGTTGGGGGTTGTTGTGTGGAAAAAAGAAGGATGTTGGGTGATATCCATGCTTCCTAAATTTCTATAAGTAAATGTTTAATTGATCCAAAAATAATAATAATAATAATAAATAAAAAAAGCAATTCAATAAGGAAGTATGAAAAGGGTATAGATTCAATTGCCACTACAAGAAAACTGGCATTCTGCGTCTAGCAAAATTAGACGCAGAAGTCACATTTAGACGCTAAGCCATTTTTAGCGTCTAAATTTGGTTGTCGCACCCCCTTAGTTGTAGTAGGCTGGTCGCAGATTCATAGCGCGTCTATATTGTGGTTTAGACGCAAAAAGTTTTTTTTTGCGACTAGCAAAATAGTCGGTAAATGCTGGTCAAAATAGTCCCCCAACTTAGACACTAAAAGTTCAAGGGTAATTTGGTAAAATTGTATAGCGACTAATCAATTAGTTGCAAAATGTCAGTTTTAGTGTCTAATAATTTGTCGCGAATCCCACACAAATTAGATGCCAAAGGTGTAAGGGTAATTTCATAAAAGACTTTCGCAACTATTTTATTAGTTGATGAATGTATCTTTTTGTGACCAAAATTTAGTGGCTAATTGTAACTCTTTTAGACGTTGAATGTAGAATCCAAACGGTTTTCGCGACTATTTTATTAGTGGCCGAATGTATCTTTTGGTGACCAAAATTTAGTAGTTAATTATAGTCATTTTAGACGTTGAATGTGGAATCCAATAAGTTTTTGTGACTACTTTATTAGTGGCCGAATTTATCTTTTAGTGACAAAAATTTAGTGGTTAATTGTAATCATTTTAGACGCTGAATGTGAAATCTGAAATGTTATCGCGACTATTTTTTAGATGTTGAATATGGAAACAATTATACTAAATTACTTTTTGCTACTAAAACATTAGTTGCAGAATGTGTTTTTTTAGAGCATTTCATATTGACCTCCAGCGGAATGCAACTATGCTAAATGACTTTTTGCTACTAAAACATTAGTTGCAGAATGTTTTTTTTTTTTAGAGCATTTCGTATTGACCTACATTATACATTCAACATGAACAAAATAATGGACACAATATTAAAATCTGATCACTAAATCAAAAATCATATTTTCATACATATATATATAGTCCATACATGGATTTTTATGCATGATGAGCAATAAAAATCCAAAATGCACTATCACATGTGCATAACCCAAAAGAACAACATGCACCCACATTTTCCTTTTTCTACCTATCTATCTGTGCATAACTAACAAAAAAATGCCCACCCCATGTACACCATCTAACACATATATGCAAACAATCCTAAAAAGATGGTTCTACCCCCATGTCAAAATATCTATTGTCCATACAACACAAAAATAACCATCAATACCGTTAGCACGTCAAGTGTCACCAGTTCCGGTATTTGAAATAGCTGTAGTTGATGAGGACGAGTCTTCATCAGTTCGAGAAGGCAAGTGCTGTCGAGTTGGAGCTTTATCAGATTTCTCTAGTTCAAGGGCTATAGTTAGCTGCTTCATCATCTCTAACAGGACCAATTGTTGGTGTTCAAGGCTTTTTATTTTCTCTTTTTGTTGATCAAATAAGATTAGCTGGTCCTCCAACTGTTTAATCTTCTATCCATTGTGACCTTCTAGGTTCACAAACAAAACATAAATTCAGTATCATAAATATGTTCTATCACAAAGACAATACTCAACCCAATTAAACCACATTCATCCATGCAAAGAATATAGTACTAGTGATAATGTAAATGGGTCTAAACGATCAATAAATTAATTAAATATCAATTTACGTAACTTATACCTTTTTGTTATGGTTGTAGTAGCTGTGGTGCCCGCAGTCTTCTTAGCCTCGGTCTTCAAGTCAACTTTAAGATCCTCAAAAACCTTTTACAACAAAATAATTAGGTTATAATTTTATAATTTATCAAGAATATGTCATTTTCCTTATATGAAAAGAAATACCACACTCTAAATTATTAATGTAGGAGGTCTCTCTTTGGTACCTAATTAAATACATACAAAAAATGTCAACTCTCCGTAGAAGTCAATGGAGACAAAGATGGCTATGGAGGCAAGCAATGAAAAAGAAAAAGAATATGCAATTGGCTGATTAATTAAAGAGATTAGTTAAGAATTACAAGGAGTTTAACAAGTAACACCATGATTTAGACATTATAAAGAGTCTTAAATGATATAATCAGACTTGTAGAATGGCAGGAAAAAGCAAGCTTTACAACTTTAATTATTTTTTCGTTGAGCATGCCTTATCCTCACAATCTTATAGATATTAAAAATAAATTATATAATTAATAACCAAACTTTGTTATCTTCACTTTTTATAAGAAAATTATTAAAAATTAAGAATTGTTGTAACTGATGATTCATCAAATTACACTACTAATTAAAGCCTTCTATTATTTTTGCTTGCCCAAAAGCACTTAACAAATTTTTACTTACCCAAAAGCACTTAATAAATGTATATGTGTAGTTCTCAGCTTGGAAACAATATTTAATTTTAGAAGAAATTAAAGGTATTAGATATAGCTAACTTATACCAGGACTTACTTCAAAGTTAACTAAGCAAAAAGCATTAACATCTCATAATGAGCAGGCATTAAAAATGCAGATATTCCCTTTCAACCAGAAGCCCCACCTCATCATTATTATATACTACCTAATTAATGTTTGCTTTCACTCAAAGCATGGTTAACTGACCTGCACTTTTTATGATAAAATATCCACCAAGTTCCTGTTAGTTGAAGAATAACATTTGAATTCATTATTCAAAAAATGATACTTAGCAACCAGGTCAGAAGGTGAGGGTAGAGTGAAGCCAAACCCTTTGGCAAACACGACTGGTCCTTGAGGTTTGGCCTAAGTAACACTGGGAGTTGGGTCTGGTAAAATTTTCAAGTGACATACCTCAGCAATGAAATTTTCAATTTTCCTACGGCTAATGTATATTTTTCAATGAGTTATATCATCAAATCCAAAACCATAACCAATGCAATACTCAATAACTAGAGTAAGCCAGCAATTTAGATGAATTATCGGGTTTCTACTCTTGACTCCCTTCCCCTTCACAGTATCTTCATACAAGCTGAAGTACAATTGAAAGTTTGAAACAACCATTCACCTTCATTACCAGTTTCAAAACATTACATATAGATAAAACAAAACATTTCATACAACATTTATTTCCTATATTCTCCTAAAACTTCATAAAATCCAAGGTAAAATTGATTAAAGTTCTCCTCATATAAATCATATAGCCTAAAGTATAATATACTTTGAATGTAGGTTATCAGTGACCTAGATATTTAAAATTCTGCAGCCACTAAAGAAAATTAATATAGTATTTGCACTATCAGAAATTCATAGAAGAAAGCATATAAGTTGGTAAGCAAAAGGAATATGTTCACCTTAATATCCAGTACTCAGAATGTAAACGAGAAACAAAGGAAATCATGAGGAACCAATGACCTCAATTGTACATTTGGCTGGTTGTACCATGGCAGATCTGAATGTGGTGACCACTCTGGGCAGCATGAATTTCCAAGCACTCACTATTGAAGTACAAAGATAACAAATTTTTAAGATACGGGTCAAAACCGTGAACTGCAAAATGAATTAAGAGTCTCTGTGTATTTTTAAGTACAACTTACCTGCAACCATAAACAGGAATAACATGCAACAGTTGTGCAAGGCCTTTGTTCAAACTTTTCCAGGCATCTAATACTTCATAAGCAATAGGGACCAATTGAAGAATAAATATTCCATTCTCTAGAGGCTTAAGGGGCTTCTCTATAGCCATTTCTGCAAGTTTTTTGTCCTTCCTTGAAGCCAGCATCATCTTCTCTATTGGAATGGGAAAAGGCTTCTTCTTTCTCTTAGGTAGTACAGGTGGAAGATCCACATTTTGGGGATTTCTTGTTTCTTTATAGTTTGATAATGTCCAGATCTCTGGCTAGTAGCTAGCACGTAGGAATATCCGACAACTTGTTGACTCAACTTTCTGAGGCTGCCCAAGCCCAAACTGCATGAAGAATGAAATTGAAGTATGAGTTTCTAAAACAATTATCCATAAAGAATGTCATCAAGGACAAAACATAAACTTACAAATTCACGGTAGGTGCATAAAATTTTCTCATGCAAATATTCATAAATTTAACTAGCATTGTTTTCCATACAAAAATACAGAGATAGGCAAATCATTTTATACATCACATATTAACAGATTTACTTCCAACATAATATATGATTAAAATAAAAAACCAATAGAACATAATCAAGAGAACATAACCTGCAACCATAGAATGTATGAGCTAGTAGCTGAGAGTTGAGGCCTCAACTCCATGGCACTGTGCTGAACACCTGCGAAGTGAAGCAATGTCAAAAATTATTTTACATAATAATGACACTTGTTTTTAGCTCATTTTGATAATCTAGCTTACACCAAGACTTTTAAAGTAGAAATACCATTTGCAAAGTAGCACCTGATGATTGTTTTATTTTTCATAAGGGTGCTAAAATTTTCATTTACACCAAGTATAATATGTGTGATACTATCTTTGCCCCAAATGAAAATACACTTTCATTGCCATCATCCCCTTATAATCCTCGATAACAAAATAAAAAGAAAGTAACTAGCTTACCCTTTTGAGATGGATTCCATGCAGAAGGCAGAGTTGGTGGTGTCCGGAGCATTTGTTTCCAAGAGTATCTGAATTGCCTCACACTTCCTTGAATAAAAACTAAATGGTGCAAATGTAAAGTCAGAATGAAAAAATTGAAGCAAGGCTTTGTAATTAATGATGTGGGTTTTTCATGAGGCGGAGGTGATGAAGCATAACACTTAATTTTGAACCCCAATAATTAAAATTCAGCATTAAAATTTGATTAGAACATCAAACTAACCTGAGCACGGCCACTTAAATAAGTACTCATGTTTCCACTTTTAACTCATTCTTTGACTCATTTCCTCAAGCAAATGGTGAGTACAATGCAAAATAAAAAATACTGCCACCTAATCTTCATTCTATTCAGTACATTATGAAATGGAAAATCTACGGTAGCCATGAAAGAACAAAAACATGAAGCACGTAACATGATTTAATACACTTCTGTTATCTGATTACTGTAATTAACAGCATACCCATCTCACGCCATTCATGAAACTCACATGAAAACCTTGATTAATTAATAAATATTGGCATTATAAGCTAGATGCTATCAACAAATTGAACTCAAGTGAACATAGATATCTATCCACAAATCCCAAATTCTGTAACTCTAGATCCTGCTTCTTTCATCTTTATACACTTAGTCGCCAACAAGTACAACACCCAAAACTGAAATTAGCTATAATCCAAACCATATCAACGCAATCAATTGAGTTTAATTCAACGAATAATATATCAGCTCTAAAAGCAGTATGAATTACCTTAGAAACAACATGAAAGTGTCAGCAACAGTTCAAAGCCTCCCTAGCCACAGAGCCTCCAATCTTTTTTAAACCACTCTGCAACGCCAAATGGAACCTTCAATAGTGACTCTAAAACCCTCGATTCTCTCCCTCAACTCCAACAATGGGGCCTGATCCGTAGATGGCCGCGTGACATCGACGAGCTGGTGTTCAAGTTAACGAAATCAGCACAGTCCCGGTCAATTAAATAATAAGTTCATGCGAGGGAAGTAAATGAGATGTAGCTTAGATCGGAGTGTCTCGAAGGGAACAAAATTTCGGAGCTCAAGATATAGGATTCGAGGTCAAAGGTTGGGGAGAGAAAGATATTGGATTTAAACCAAAGAGTGAGCGTCAAGGATCGAAGAAGAGGTTAGTGGGGATCTAGGCGGTGGAGCAGTTGCGATTGAATCACATTTCTGATTGTGGGGTGTTTCTTTGATAACAAGTTTTTTCTCCTAATTAATCAAGACTTTGTATTTGCATTGGAATGAAGATTTTAGAGTGCAATGTAACGCAATGTTAAGAAAGAACGAACGCTTCTGACGTCGTCGTTTAATAAAGAACATTGTGTAGAGCGTTTAGGGTCAGAAGCCGCCGTGAAAGATTGAGAACAGATGAGGTTCGATGGACGACAGTCAGAACTGACAAGACAAGGGAGAAGTCCAGATTTTAGGGAAAAAATGGAGAAGAAGATGCGAACGGAGTGATCATTAGGGTTTAGGGTAAAATTAGTTTGGGGCTTTTGGATAATTGGGTATATGTAAAACATTTATTTGGCCCTCAATGAATGAAAAGTGACAAGGTAGACCCTAAAATATTCATTGACCCCTAAACAAAAAAAATGAGACAAAATCAACCTGCTGTATATACTTTGGGGCCTTGTAATTACTGTCCAAATATGGATATTTTGAAATATAATTCTATTATGGAAATAAGGGAATTTCGCAACTAAAAATTTAGTCAGTAAAGAATTAGTGTTAGTTGCCCATAATTGAGGTCCGGCGGGAACAAATAATTTTGGGGGGAATATGAATTTTTTAAGTTAAATTAGCAACTAAATCAAATTTAGTTGCTGTATATACTTTGGGGCCCTTGTAATTACTATCCAAATATGGGATATTTTGGTAATTTCATTTTTCTATAACTAATCATAATAGTTACTAATAAATCCCTAATTATTCGCAACTAATTTAGCAACTAAATTAGTAGTTGTAAAAAATTGTTTTTTGTAACAAAAAATGTAGATGTAAAAAGCCATATTTTAGATGCAAATTATGAAATTTTGGAGGGAAAAATCACCCGGAAAAAATTGCAAATAAATTTATTAGTCACTAAAGCAAACGGTTCTGTGACTAACAAAATAGTCGCAAAAAATTAACTTTAGATGCCAAATGTTGGAACATGTGGGCCCCAAAATTTTAATCCTCTTTGCTCGACTAATGTCAATTTAGTTGGTAAATGTAGCCTTTTTGCAACTAATTCTGGTTAGTTGCTAAAAAATTGGTTGCAAAATGTCAATTTTCTTGTAGTGTGCGGTTGGGGAGAGTGATACAATAAAAATAAAAAAAATAAAAAAAATAAAAAAAATAAAAAAAAACAAAGGGTTTCAGGTTTGAGAGAGTAAGTTGTTTATGAAATGTAAGATTATTCCTCTTAATTGCTTGAATCCCTTATGTTCTTTCATAACCCAATACCTTAGCCTAACGTTACAAGCTTAATGAAGTCTTAACAATCTAAAGTTGTGTGTCGCTCTACATTAGTGGAGAGTGATCTGAAAAATAGGCCTATGGAGTTGTCTTTTTAATGTTTTCTGTTTCATGAGATCAATAATGTTGTTTTCTTTTGGAGATTGCTATGAAACCACCTCTAAGGCTGGGATTAATAGTCCGTGGATTTACTGTGATGGAGAGTTAAGAATGAAGGTGAAATTGATTTTTAGGGTGTTCTTGGATGTGGTTGATCATTGCTTATTCTTGTTTTAAATGTGCATGCAATTTATAAGACATATTTATTGATGTCTCTAGGAAACCCATGTTTGGTATACATGTGTGTTAGGAATTTGTAGGATGTTTGTGGCCAACATCGCTGAAAACCCTCATGAGATTATAACTCGTCCACTAGGGGGACCTAGGGTTTAAAGGCTTATTGCATATACTAAATGCAATCGTGTCAACCAGCGGAAGTGGTTTAGTTAGGATAGATTAGTTAGGATTATATTTTATCGCTTTCATTGCTAGGGACTAGCAATAAGTTGGTCAGGGGTTGTGTTGAGTGGTGAAAATACGGATTTATTTTTATGATTTGGGGGTGAATTGTAAGGAATTCAAGGTTTAACGCATTATTTAGGATGAGTTTCCTTACTTGTTTTATTATCTTCCAGAATCATAGGTTTTGTTGTGTTTTCTGGTATTTAGGTGCAAAAAGATGGATTATTCATGCTTGTGTTAGTGTTCGGACATCTTGGACCCATTGAGTGTGGATAAATCAAGGCAAGCAGAAAAAGAGTGAAATTCTGCAACTACGTTGTAGCACGCTTTTCTAAGCGCGGTGTGAAGATGACAAAATTGATATTGTGCCCCAGTGAAGAATCATCGCTCTACGGCAAAAAGTTGATGAATTCCAAATTGCACCGCGGTGTAATTCATTCATGCCATGGCGTGATAGGGTTCTTATTGAAAGAAAAATCACTTGGAGCTGCAATGCAGCGCAAATCGTGATATTTGGAAAAACTCCGCATTTTCAACCCTAATTTTGGTGACCAGTATTTACAATTTTGCCATTTTTCCTAAAAACTATATAAAGGAAACTTTAGTACAATTTTCATAATTATTAATTTATATAAAACACTTGTTAAACTTTTGAGTCTTGGAAGAGAGTGATTGATTGTGTAAAGCTAAACCTGGATCATCTTGAGTGGATTTTGCACCCAAATGTGTAAGGGTGAGTAGAAAAACGAAGATAAAGTAGGAAGCTTCCAAAAATGAATTTCTTCTATTCAGATTAAGAATGGAGTTTTTACAGCTTCTAATGTATGAATACAGAGAAAGAGTAAAGTTGCTCTTTAAGAAGACGAGCAACTAATCTTAACAAGAAGAAAGACTATTAACACTAAAGCTACAACGTTTAACATAAAAGCAAGCTACACCTTATTGATTCAACAAATGATAGATTGACCCTTAATCTTTAATATATTAACATTCCCCCTTAAACTGGAGTAGGTAACTTTCCAATTTAATATATCAACATTCCCCCTTAAACTGGAA